ACACTCCACACTCCACACTCCTCACTTTACACTCCACAGTCCACACTCTACACTTTACACTCCGCACTCCACACTCCACACTTTACACTCCGCACTCCTCACTCCTCACTTTACACTCCACACTCCACACTCCACACTACACTTTCCACCCCACACTCCACACTCTACAATTTACACTCCACACTTTACACTCCACACTCCACACTTTACACTCCACACTCCACACTTTACACTCCGCACTCCTCACTTTACACTCCACACTCCACTCTCTACACTTTCCACCCCACACTCCACACTCTACACTTTACACTCCACACTTTACACTCCACACTCTACACTTTACACTCCACACTCTACACTTTACACCCTACACTTTACACTCTACGCTCCACACCCCACACTCTACAATTTACACTCCTCACTCCACACTCCGCACTTTACACTCCGCACTCCTCACTTTACACTCCACACTCCACACTCTACACTTTCCACCCCACACTCCCCGCACTCTACACTTTACACTCCACACTCCACACTTTACACTCCACACTCTACACTTTACACTCCACACGCTACACTCCACACTCCACACTGCAGACTGGTAACAGGGGAAATATGTACAAGACTGTTCAAATAAACTATTGCAGAAAAGTGTTCTGCGTGATTGCATATCCATGTGTTTTGACATCTGCGCCATTAACATACGTGTGAGCATTCGGGTTCGTGGGCTGCATCTTGTTTCATAATATAATATATTTAAGAAATAAATTTATAATATAAATTGTAGTGGCATATCTTATCTTGCTGGAATAAGGGGTCGCAAGGTTTGGAACAGACTGCCATTTACCTGCCATACGAGCATCAGGACTGTTAATTCAGTTCCCCGCAACAAACAGTTGAATATGTGTCTTACTTTTGAATTAGTTTGATGCCATGCTTTTGAGAGAACCCGCGCCCCAACCCTGTTCTCTTTCATTTACACAAGCGCAAGTATAATTATTAGAACATAGCAAAACTATTTTCTAATAGTAATGGTTGTGATTGATGATGAAGAGATAATTGAGAATATAGAAACCCTGATTGATGACGCTTCGGACGAAGTCCTCGCGAGCATTCGCGACACTAAATTTCCTGTGGAAGATGGTAAGATAAAATGTTTTATTCATTATCTAATCAATAATATTAAGGATGCCTCCGAAAAAGAAAAGCAGTAAATCCAAAAAAACTATTCCAGAGGATTTTGAACTGTCTGATGATGAACCCAAAATGGTAAGTTTAAGTCAGGAACAAAAACTAACAAGCAAAAATATTATCTTTGATTGCCCTTTATGTCAGGGAAAATTACAGTTGAGGAACGAAATTGAAATCAACCCCAAAGGCATAACCTGTCGTTGTAATCCGTGTAGTTTCAAACTGACTAAAATTGATAAGACTATGAATGTCAGTAAGGATGATGAAGGGGGGATTACATTGGATAGTCAAGACCACAGCATCTCGTTTGCTTTCAATCGAATTACTACTCCTCCAACAGAAGATGAAAGATATAGAAATGATATGATAAAAGATGTTATGAATACACCACGGAACAGCAAAAACAGATGATGTCTGAAATGGATTGAAACGAAACCATTTAAAGAGTAGTTGTTCTATCAACTCCAACTCATAAATAAATAATTAAATAAATTAATTTCTAAATAGATAAATAAATAAATAGTAATGTCAAGTGGAGATGAGAGCAAGACTGAAATGAAAGAGTTGATGGATAAATTCAACAAATACGCTAAACAGGTGAAACTGGTTCTGGCAAAACTTGAAGAAATTGACAAGAAAATAGGACAAAACTATTACTACTTAGATGATGATAAGAGGGGTTGTTTACGCCACAAATTGTGAAAGGTGTAAGGCTTGTTCATGCTGATGTGTTGTTGCTTCCAGTGCTTGCCATCACTGTCGTTAAGGCTCAACAATATCAAACTGCACTGCGCTGATGCTTCAAGTAAGATCATGATTCAAAGTCAGGAGGAGTAAGAGCTGTGGCAGGAATACGAGCTGTTGCTTTTCAAGACTTTTGTTGTAGCAATGGTTGCCTTGCGCAATGCTCGTGTTCGGCGCTATGTCCTTCTTTGCCATTTCTTCTGCTTTTGGCATTTCGCAGCGCGAACCTTACAGTTCTCTGCCCTTGCCCTGCCGCCGAATACAAAGCTGTTGAAGGACGTGGAGCACAATGAGATGCCAAACTGGATTCGTGAGCAAATGTGTGATTTGGGGTATGATAAAGGCGTCTCAGACAACATGGCCGAGGCGCTCTCATTTTACAGCCCTTCGGCCTTGGTGGAGGCTTCTCGAGAGAGTTTGCTGGGTGCGCTGCAACAGACATTCCCAAATGATGCACAGCGGATGATCATGGCCCAAAGCCTTTATGACCGCATTCAGAAGGGCATTTCCCAACCACAACCCGTTTCTCGGCAAAGATTGGTTTTAGTCGTAGCCCGAGTTCGTTGTGTTTTGTTTCTCGTTGATGTGAGACAGCGTTTATGTTTCTGTGGCTGCTTTGCTTGGTTTCAGGTTCAGAGCGATGTTCCCGAGAATGTCAAGGCCTTCGCACGAGCTTTGGATGATGCAGAGCTGGAAGGGCAAATTCTCAGAACGGAAAAGGGCAGTTTCAAGTTAGAACAGGACTCGGAAATTTGGGACGAAAAGCAGTTCTACGTGCGGGACTGCTACAAAGAGATTGCCGACATCATGTTGAAGAAAAAACCTCATAGGATGTCTTTGCTGGGCTCGTCTGGGATCGGCAAGTCCAATTTTATGGTATATTTAATCTGGCGTCGCTTCCAAGACAGTGAGCTTAAAGACTTCCCAGTTTTTCTGCACCAGAGGGACGACATCCATCTGTTTCAGAAGGGCGAAGAGCCGAAGCTGGTGGATGTCAGGACCTTGAAGTCGACCCCTCAACAAGCTTTGTATATCATGGATGCCGACATTGATGTGGAACATGGGGTCTTTTGCCAGTCTTTGTGGATTACCTCTGCGCGGAGGCCCACCGAACATTTTAAGAAGGCCGAGCGCTTTTCTGGGCAGTGCTTTATGCCACCATGGACGTTGACGGAGATGCTGAGTGCAGAGGTCATGGCCTTACACAAGCTGAATGAGGAGGTTGTCAAGGAACGCTTCGGCATCTTTGGTGGCACTGCGAGGCTTGTTTTGGAGAGGGACGAGACAAGGGCAGGCGTCGACCGAAGAAGGCTCGTAGAGGCCGTGCAGTCAGCAGTGGAGTCAGCAGATGCGCTGCAATGCCTTAAAGTATCGTCTGACATGAAAGCCATAAGCAAGACGACGCATTTGCTGGTGAAGATGCACCCAAAGCGGGAGTTCAGCTGGTTTGATGTGCAGTTGTCGTCTCCCTATGTTCGGCAAGAGCTGGTGAAGCAAAATAGACAGGACAACTCCGAAGAACTTTGGAAAAGGATGCGGGAAGGAATGATTACTGGCATCGGTTTTGCATTGTTTGAGGAAGAGTTCCACCAGTTCATGCAGGACAAGTCCATCGGCAAGTTCAAGCTCCGAGCCAGATGCTTGACAGCTGAGGGGAAAGGGTCTGATACAACACAGGAACTCCAAGGTGGTCTTGAAGGAGTGCTGATTTTGGGCAATCCCGCAGCAGACATCAAGGATGGCGAATACTACCAGCCGCAGAGCAAAAACTTTCCTGCCTTTGACTCATGGACCTCACAGGGCGTTTTTCAGCTGACGATTGCCGATACACATGACATCACCTTCAATGACAGTGGCAAGGCAATGGACGTGACGAAGACGCAGGCGTCTAAGATTGTGGATGCACTTTGCAAGAAGCATGACAGCAAAGCCAAATTCTTCTTTGTCGTTCCGCAGTTTCAGTTTGATAAGTGGAAGACTGTGCAGACAGTGAAACAGCCAGAGATGGCTGAGAAGATTGAGCAATGGGTCGTGTGCTTTGAACAGAACCTTCCGAAGTGAAGTGGAGCAGCGCGCTCGTGACCAAAATGAGGAAAGTCCGACATCCCCCAGTTCGGGGTTATGGGTTTTTGGGTTTTTTCTATTAGGGTCTTACCCCACACCTCATTAGGATATTGGTTGTAGAATGGACAAGGTTATGGGGTTGGGAGGTTCTTATGTTTTTTTTTTGAAATATTGTTTTCTATGAGGGAGACCTTGCCCCCTAATTCTATGATGGTTTGTTGTTTGTATTTTGATTGGTTCATTGAATATTTTTTGGCATGGATTATTCAACAATCTTATTGGTTGGTTTGTTGAATAATTTTTGTGATGGGGTGTTGTTTTGGTTTTGATGATTGCTTGTTGCTATGGTTTTGTTATTGTCTCGGTTGATTGATTACTCATTGGATTTTGGTTATGTCTTGGTTGTTCTGATTTATTTGTGTTGTTTGGTTGATTGATTTCTTATTGGTTTATGGGTATGCTTTGGTTGTTATGATTTGTTTGTGTGATGTTATGGGGGTTGGTTGCTTTGAAATGTTGTCTGTATGTTTGCGGTTGTGGAGGATGGGAAGATGGGCAAGGGCCATTCTAACTTATATATATATATTATACATATCATACCATATGACTTAAATTACGATCCAACCATTGAATCATTGAATCATTGTACATTTTTTGTTCAACTAGTGTTTCTTTTGTTTTGTTGTCGATGCTACTCCAATTGCAGATTGTCCGCACTTAGGTCGGTCAGATTTGGTTAAATCACACTTGTTGATGGTTGCATTCCCAGTTTTTGCCTATTCTTGCTGTTTAGATAATATTAAATAATCATCATTTTTGATGGTAAAATCACAATTTTGATGGTTTCTAAACGATAGTCCCTTCCCCCGAATACTAAACACCCCCCAGAAACCATGGTGGATGGCAGTGATGAATTCACACATTTGAGAACATAGAATGGGGGTGTTTAATAGGAACGGGGGGATGAGATTACTCCAACTTCGGAACACGTTGCGCGTCAGGCGCCTGCCGCAAAAGCCAGGCCTGCGACATTTGTGGCTGGAAATGCTTTGGGGTGATAGGACAGGATCCACTCGAGCTTTGCGATGGGAAACCCCCACAAGATTTCATATCTCTATATTTTGCAATTTATATGGGGTATAATATATATATATATATATACACACACACAATGTGTATGTGTATACACTGGTAGGACACAAGTTGCGCTTGTTGAGCTTCCGACAGTGAACATGTTTGATTTCTTCTTCTACACACCTTTTCCCCTAGAATCCTAGTATGGAGCTGTGTCGTACCCTGGTCGCATTTCCACCCTCCAAAAGCTTTAAATTCTTATAGATTTAAAAGAGGGTGATTTAAAAGAGGAACACAAAAAGGACTTGGAAACGTGATCCGCGGTTGACCGAGATGGATGTTTTGTAAAGATTTCAAGAAGCACAAACTTTGTTCCTCCTGAAGTATATATATATATATATGTTTGCATTAACACATTATTCTGTTGTAAGATTCTGATCGGGTACGTGCAAAAATCACCAAAATGAGTCAAACTGGTCCGTTGTGCTCCGACCGCAATGAATACCGGGTCAGCCATCATTTGGGCTTGCCTGAAATTTGCGTACTGTACTTCCAATTCCAAAGGATTAGATATCATCATTTTTCCCAGTATAGAATTGACATTTTGGGCAATCCCTTAAATTTTGGAGAGATTATGGTTTTACATCCCATCAAGGGTAGGGGTTTTGCACCTCAACAGTCGTCCACTTGGGCCCACGGCCCAGGCCCATGTGTTCGCTGCAAACGGGGCTCTGGGCCTTGATCGTTTTTACCGTCCTGGTGCGGGGCCTTGATGTGTCGCCTGGGGTGGGATTTTGGGTCCATGATAAACCTCGAAACTTTGGGGAGTTGCAATTGGCTTTGCCACTAATCATTTTTCCTTGTTTTTTCATGTTTTTTCGACTTTGGCAGGATCATTGCAACCAATGCACAGAAGAATCTTACAAGGGCGCTCCCTTGTTTTTCCGACATTCATTTATATCATTTGGACATGGGTCATTGCTGCATATCCTTAAATGGCCAGCCTGCTCATGGGTCCTCGAATTACTTTGTTGCCGGGCCCGCTACTGTAGCCCTTTCACAGATGTGATATGACGGTTCTATCCAGAAATTTGGTTGATTGGATCCACATGTTGGTTGAATTGAATTGCCACCATAGTTGGTCAATGTCCCCATTCTTCTCGCTCAAAAATTAATTGACCCCCAATATCTGCATGTTCAGTGGTTTATTTCCCCAATTTTTTTGTTGGTTCATATCTCATCATACCCACTTACTTGTTGACTCAATTCATTTACCGAATTGGTTGTTGGTTCTACATCCATCCAAACTATCTGGTGCTAGGGAGCTATGGGTATCAGTTTTCCCTAAATGGGGAGCCAGTTGCAGCTACAAATCGAGTTTCCCAACCACTTAATAGCTATAGATGGTAAATGATGGTAATATATCCATCATATCATATTACATATCCATTGTATACACCCATGATATCAATATAAAAACCATTATATGTCAATATAAGACACATTATATTAATATAAATGAGTACCACACCCATGAAATAGTAAGAGAAATAGACCACTTCTGTACCGGTACCCATGTTTTCTCCATTTTTTCTTCATGGGTGTCCGTCAGGTTGGTGGCTTCCTATACCTGCAACACCAGCGACTTGCAGAGGAATCCGCACCCAATGGCCAGGTGGGGATCGCTGCAACACAACTGGGAGCCGTGGATTGGTTCATTGGAGAATCTTTACCGGAAAACTGGAAAATTTTAACTGGAAACCATGGTTTTGATGAATCAAAGTTGGAGAACCCCTGAGGTTTTCACCGAAAACTATCTATTGAAATCTACTGTATTTTTTTAATCTTTGTGGCATGTTAAAATGGACCAAACCATCCCTTTTCGAGGATGAAACCCAAGAATCCACCATTACAAAAGGTTGAAGAGGGGGAAAAAACAACATCTGGGGTGCCAAAGGTTTGGAACCCTCACGCGCGTCCGATCTTGGTGTATGGTCTATGATGGGCTACAGGCAGCAAATTGGTAGATAGCATTCTTTTGGTTCCCCTTGGTAATAAAACGTGGCAATCGGAAATCGTCTATATATATTTCCCCACCTGCCAGGTGAGGGTTGTTAGATTTTATCTAAGTTGCCTTCTCCTCCTCCTGCCTGCCTCCTCCTCTCCTCCTCTCCTCCTCCTCTCGTCGTCCTCCTCTCGTTGTCCTCCTCCTCTCGTTGTCCTCCTCGTCTCGTTGTCCTCCTCGTCCTCCTGCTCAACTGCGACTCGCGATCCACAGTGTTCGCTGCCGGACCTCAACCACGACCATCCACGCCCAGTGTTCCCTGCCGGACCTCAACCACGACCATCCACGCCCAGTGTTCCCTGCCGGACCTCAACCACGACCATCCCCGCCCAGTGTTCCCTGCCGGACCTCAACCACGACCATCCACGCCCAGTGTTCCCTGCCGGACCTCAACCGCGAGTATCCACGCCAAGTGTTCCCTGCCGGACCTCATGTAGGAAGATATGCCAGATAGCATGTCAGATCGAATGCCAGAAGATATGTCAGATAGAATGCCAGAAGATATGCCAGATAGAATGCCAGAAGATAGGCCAGATAGAATGCCAGATTTGCCAGAAGATATGCCAGATAGGATGTCAGAAGATATGCCAAATAGAATGTCAGATAGAATGCCAGAAGATATGCCAGATAAAATGCCAGAAGATATGCCAGATAGAATGCCAGATCAAGTGCCAGAAGGTATGCCAGATAAAGGGCCAGAATGTTTGCCAGATAGAATGCCAGATAGGATGTCAGAAGATATGCCAAAAGATATGCCAGATAGAATGCCGAATAGAATGCCAGAAGATATGCCAGATAGAATGCCAGAAGATATGCCAGATAGAATGTCAGAAGATTTGCCAGTAACAAAACGTATAAATGACATGGTGGGGATCACACGAAGTAAAGTAATTTTTTAAAAATGATGTTTATAAAAGGAAAAACACTATAAATGGTTGACTTTTCATTGCTATGTCGGATTACGGGGTCATATATAGCAGGTAGAGATCGCAAGTAGAGTTCTCCTATGTTGTCCTGTCAATCAAGCCGTTAAGCCCAGCTGGGTTTCGAAGGGTTTCCCACTGAAAAAGCCAGGTTTTGTGCACCCACCACTTTGCAGCCTCCAGGGCTGGTGATAATTTTGGCCAGTCAGATCCTATTTGGGTGAACTCCCCATTTTTCCTGGTTCAATTCGACCTTTATCTGGTTGAATTCCCCTTTGGTCTGGTTTTTGAATGTGTGAAATCCAAATTCCTGTTGGTAGAATCATCATGTCTGTTGGTTCATATACATTTTTTTTTGGGTTGAATCCCATTTTTCATGGTAAAATCACAAGTTTTTTCATGGTTAACTCCCCATTTTTGCTTGTTTTTTTTTTTGTTTGGCCTGGCCGTTGTGGACCCTGTCCCAAGCCGCTCCCAGAGTGGTCCTCCATGTAGGCGGCCTTGTCTGCCGCCGCGGCGGCCGTGATCAATGTGGCCTCGGAGGTGGGGTGCGTTGTGTATGGGTGGTTTGAGAAGTTGGGGAATATAGTAGGACTAAGAATGGGATTATAATGGGGATTAAGTTGGTTGGCATTGTGATGGGAAGTTGATAGGGAATATAATAAGGATTAGTAGGAATTACTGTAATAGGGAATATTAATGGGATTACATTGGGAAGTCAATAGGAATTCATGGTAAGTTAATAGGGATTAATGGGGAAACATCATGGGAACGGGGAATATCATGGGAAGTATTCATAGAAAATTGGGATCCAATAGGCATTACTGGGAAGTTAATAGGGAGTAATAGAGAATAGAATAGGAATATAACAGGGATGGGCGTATCAATGGAAAATAACTATTCCATGGATTCAGGCATTCATAGGAATATATAGGGAACAATGAAGGTTATTAGTGGAACAAGGGGATTTAATATTGATGGAAAATGAGGATTTCATATAGCGATTAATGGGAATTAAATGAGGAATATCATGGAAATATCAGTGCGGTGCAGTTGAGGTTGCTTTTATGGGTATAATATGGTATAATAATTGGATTAAAAACACAATAAGTTGGGACAACACCTTTCTAACTATGGTTCTACAACCACTTACTAACTGGAACTGCTTGCTCCAAGCACCCTCCGGTAATTTGACAGTTTGCAAACTGGAAGCCATGGCCGGTTTGGTTCGATGATTTTAGATGTAAAAAAATGGTGATTTTCCTGAGTGCAAAAGAGGCAAAATGCTGGTAGAACTTGAGGGGTTGGGGTCGGGGATAATGCACAATCCAAGAAAAGACATAATATACAACCGCAAAATGATGGGATTTCAACTTGCACAGACTGACATACTATTTTTCTAGCAAGAAGCCTGAGATGGAACCACGTGGATGACAATTATGACAATGAATTAAACACCTGATCCCCTTCTGTTCACATCAAAATAATAGCTGGTGTCCATGGAAAAACCATTGATCTATGGCCCATATCCCAATGCCATAAACCATCCCCAAGTCATCACCATTTCGATGTGTGGTATTCGAGACATCCCCAAATGGTCAGTTTATGGCAGCCAGGTTTTCCCAGATTAAATGCTATTCGCCATTTACAAAACCAAGAAATCAACCATGGTTAACCATTATTAACCATAATTAGCCATTATTAAACACATTCTTCACATCCCCACGTCCTGCCGAAGTCGCGTTGGCTGAAGTCCTTCTGCCCTCCAAAGACCGGCAGGCCAAAGAGGAGTCCCCGGCGCCAGAGGAAGGCGCTGGGGGATGCGTTGTCCCTTGCAAGGTATGGGGTTTCCGTTGCAGCGACACCGCTTTAAGTTGGTTGAAATACCTCCAAGTTCACTATGACAACTATGGTTTATGATACTTATCGCTATAGTATTCATGGGGTTTATAAACCAACTTTAAAACTGGGGGGGCCTCATTGTGCTGTATGGACAATCCATATACAACCGCGCTGAATCTTGATCAACAATCGCTGGCATACAACAGGATTCTTGGCTACGTACATCAAACTAGCGGTGCAAATGAAAGCCAATGGAATTTATGGTCTTATCATCAAGAGTGGGCATACAATTATGGATTTTGGTTTGTGTGAAAATAGGATAGCCCCAAAATTTGATAGTCAATCACAGTTTCCCTATATTCAATGGCCACAACTGGAGGTACTCCCTATTTTCAGGTACCAAACTGAAAATAGGTTGAGTCAGTGGGATCCCCAAAATTGGAGGCGTCCACCTTTTCAAAATGACTAGCCACGTAGGAAAGTTTGGAGGGTTTCAGGTCTTGACTGAAGTAGACATGACCTGCCAAAAAGGGTGGTTCAATGCACAAACTAAGCATGATTCAGCTCTACATCTCCCAGCACTGAGTTGGTTTCTATTGGTATCTGTCACATCTCCATTTTGTTTGGTTAAATGGTTTCTTCTGCTAGGTGAATTCTCGTGTTTGTTGGATAAACCCCCCATTGTTCATGCTTAAACACATCAGTTTTCATTATGAAACCGACATTTTCATGATTAACTATGATTAACTTATATTAAATTGTAATTTTTCAATGGTTGGATCCCTCCGTCACTGTCACTTGTATTTGGAGATCAGGTGGCAAAAGCTCTGCCCGGGAACTGAGTTTCGGTGAGTTTCGGGTGGCTTTTTTTCGACAGACTTTTACGACATCACCAGAGTTGCGTAGCCCGTCGCAGGTTCAGAGTGCCAGGGGCAATGAAAAATCCATCCCCTTGAAATTAGTGGTTACCATGGCCCCCCATTTCTGCTCCCTTCTCGGCTCATGCTGTTGGTGCTGACCAGCAGCTCTTATATTCGAGGACACTAAGATGGAAGAATTCGTCTAATTTATGCAAATATATGCTTTATTATTCTTGAAACGTCTATCCACCACTTTCCAAGCCCTCATCAAATAGAAGAGGCTTCGAATATGGGTCGTGTCGGGAATTTGCGGTACCCCATTCCATCCATTGGTTAATCATCACTTTCCCTATCAAATAGCCAGAACTTGGGGGGTTCATCGTGTTTCATCCGCAAAGGTGAACGACCTGCGCGCAGAGATTTCGGCCTTGAAAGACTTGGTGGGGCCCTTCGATGTCGGTCACGACTGGGGATAAAGATGATAACATGGATTAACATGGATCAACATGGATTATTACAGTACCCACTTACTAAACATTTGGATCATTTGGACTTGTCTGAATAAACATATGGAAAACAATCACATTCCATCCGATTCCATCCCTTTTCCCCATGAAAGAGGTCATAAATTGGGGCCCTCTTCCTTCGACACATGTTGGATCCGGAGGGTATGAAACCCAGGTGGAGAAACATGAGAAGATGTTGAGGCCAAGAGATGATGTGGCGATGCGAGATGGTCTGGGGTCATGATACAGTAACCTTATGATAGAAAGAACTGCAGTATATATATATATATTTACATATATATATATACATCTGAGCCACCGCAAAAAAAACCGGCAATACTAAATATGTATTGGACGGACATTGGTGTATGGAAATTGATGAAAATTGTTAAAACACACGGTAAGCAATGGGACCTTCCCAAATTAGCGATACCCCGTTTCGAGGTTATGTCATTGTGTTTCTCTAATATCCACATTAGCGATACCCAAATTGGACGTCGATTTCTGTGAATTATATATATGTACATATATATATATATAAATGTAGCAGTTTCCTGCAAGCGATACCCCCCAAGTTTACCATATATCATTATTGTACAAACGTGTGGGAAGCGATGGGACCTTCCCAAAATGTCCTTTCCGTGAACCTAGGGTTTTCGAGACTGCTCATATATATATATATAAATAGAGAGATCATGGATTGATGTTTACTTATAAACTATCAATGTTTTTATGTTTATAAACCCAATCAATTCGGCCCTATCTGGCCCTATCTATCAGAGTCAAGGGAGTTTTGGAAGGTTGGCTTCAGGGCGATCGACAGTCTTGCAGAACGTCAATGACTTTCTCCTCAGATCTCCCTGGCACTGATCCATCATTTTCCGTTGATCTCATCTGCTTTTGTTGGTGATACATATCATATATACATATATAGACATACTGTAATTATACCTCCCTTCAACATCATTCCATGATGGGTAAAATCATATCCATCATATGTTGAAGATATGGAAATGTATATATGGAAGATACAACACGCATTTGTTTTTACCCATCTTCGACATCCTTCCTCCCTCCATGCACGTCGCAGATATGTCATGGATCGCTACGTGGAAAAGGACGTGGCTGCCGCACCCAAAGAGGGCGCCCAGGGGACCAAGCAGGCGACCACCGGGGGGCTGGGTCACCTCGAAGGAGATTTCTTGATATCTTAACCAACAACAAATGGCCATTTTATAGTTGGTGTATATATGTATATATATAAATAAACACATACATAAACATATATATATATATACATAATATACATATATATATGTGTATGTGTTATATTATGTAGCTGATTCATGATACCAAGCTAACTTGGTCTTTAACTCCAATTTCATTAGGGTTTATGATAATACTTCTATCCATAAATGGGTTGTGGTAAACCAACCTTGGATAAAAAGCCAGTAAGGCTTCAGTGATTTCCAGGATCAAGTGGAGCATGGCCTTCATCCCTGTGGTCTGTTGAAAAACTGATCGATTCACATCCATTGATCCATGATTTTCGCCAATGAAGAAGATTGCCATCAAAGTGGTATGCCCCATCTTCTTTTTTGGACAGTCCACTTTTGCTTTCCCGCGAGCGCCACTTTGATATCCAAACATCATATCATATCAGAAGGGTCAGTACTCCGGAGAGTGGGATAGTTTCCTGTACAAGCAAAAACGAGAATTCAGATATCAACCAGCAGAACAGAGGACATGATCATGAACATCATATTAGCCTTTTAATCTTTGGATGGTATATTCACCCACCAAGACCCGGTTTGAAGAATTTTTAACATCATGCTACTCATGCTTTATTCCCCATGTATTGTAACCCCCACAAGATTGAAACAGTTATATATATATATAGATTTTACCATTATTTTAGTAAGATTTAAACTGTTCTATCATTTTTTTGGTTGCTTGAATGCTATTTACCTTTTTGCCATCATGTAATCCAATTCACTGCATATGTTCCGGGAGATTGCCATTATCTCACCACTGTCTCAACATTATTCACAACTATTAATCACTATTGACAATGGTTTTCCCCTTACCATTCACCATTATTATACAATGATTAACCATAGTCACACCACTATCATATCATTATCAATCACTATTAACCACTATTAAACCACTAGCCGCTAACCATTAATCACTAATGACCGTTTCAACTGCCACATGTCCAACGCCAACCTCCAGGCGACGGTGGCCAATCTGTCGTTGACGGAAGGCGGTGTCGGTGGCAATGTGGCCACGCCCGAGGTCAAAGGGGAGGCCGGGATGGGATAAGTGGGAGAGCCAAGTGGCATATTGATATGATATATCATATATATATAATATCATATATATATATAAAATCATATATATATATATAATATCATATATATAATATCATATATATATATATATATATATAATATCATATATATATATAATATCATATATAATATCATATATATATATATAATATCATATATATATATCATATATTCTGGGTGGAGATAAGTGTCATCATCCACTCAAAATAGTGTTATAATAGGGATTTAACAACTCAAAATAGTGATTTGATATGATTTAATATCGCGATTCAATCATCAGTGGGAACTACATGGGACTGCCACCGTAGAACGCGGCTACGAGCGCCGAAAATGGGGATGTAGTCACCCAAAATGAGGATGCAAACGATGTATATATATATGTATATATATATACATATATATACACATATATATATATATACACATAAGGTGTTTGGCTGTTATATTATTATATATATATTATATATATACTATGTACATTATGTATATATATATATATATCTATTATATGTAATGTATATATATATATGTATATATATATATACATTATACATATATAGCCAGCAAAACTTGGGATGCAAGAACCAATAGTGCAGATTTAACCAGCACAAAAGGGCACATGATGGCCAAGGATTGGGATGTAACCACCAACAAAATGGGGATATGATCACCCAAGATAGGGATATCATAGCCACCAAACGTTGAGACATAGTCGCCAAACATGGGAATAGAAGTAGCAAACATGGGGATGTAACAGCGTTGGTTGTGAGTCCACATGTTTTTAATTGAAATACCCTCTGGTAAACAAACATAGCTATTGAAAATGGCCATAGAAATCGTTGATTTACCCATTAAACATTGTGATTTTCCATAGTTATGTAAACGTTTACCAGAGGGTACTGTATTTCGGGACCCGCATAGTTCCAATCTTAGCCCTGCTCGCCGCTGGGAAACTTGGACGACCAGTCTGTTCCCACGCATCTTTCATCCACTGCTAAAGCGGTACCACGTCTTGGTAGTCCTGTATGCCCCCAAAAGGAAACCCTGGTAATGTATCGCATCCATTCATTTTGAGGGCAAAACTATTGGGGATATGTCATATGACCTGGGATTACCACATTGTTATTCTTCATTTTTTTTTCCAGTTGAGGGTTATATCATTCTATCCCACTATATCGCTACAAAATCATTGGATCAACCATTATCAACCATCATATTAGGCATTTATAACTGGTTTTCCCCTTATCATGTTGGGTCTCCGGGGCAATACGCAGAATTCCGGCAGCACGACAGGCGCGTGCAGGCCGAACTGATCGCTGCAGGGAGGGTCAGCGGTCCTCCAGCCACCAACAGTGGTTAATAATGGCCAATAATGGTCCATCAACAGTTCTTTTGCTTTTTTTTTTAAGTCCAAAATGTCGGTTTCACCTTTTTTTTAAGCCACCATTTGTATGGGTTTGTCTCAAAATGTCTAAGTCAGCCCAGACACAAAGCCTTTTTAGTGGGGGAAAGAGGATGAACCACTTGATCGGACCTTAGTGATATTTACTTTGTCTCAGATGGTGTTTCTGCTTGGGACTTGGCATGTGACAAACAAACGCCCATAATTTAATGACGCACCAACAGACGTTTTTGCTGTTTGAAACACTTGCCGATTGGCTAAGTGGCATTCAAACTTGGTATCAGAAATCATCAAACTCACCCCTTCGACCTTTTCATAGCTGGGGTTGCCATGGTTCCTGCCGAGTTTGAAGATATTGTGTCAAAATTCAGGGCACCAAAAAATGGATGGTTCCACGATTTTGTCACAATTTGTAATTTCACTATTGCCACAGTCTTGACCCATCCCATGGGGGGATCATTATTCTCCAGCTTAGTTTGTGAACTATATGATTGAGAATGAATATACATATACTATGTAAAAAACATGCAGATTATATATATATATATACATGCATCAAAGTACTCATATTAGATTTCAGTCTCTGCGATTCGTTCCTCACATAGGCAGAGGCTCCTGAGCACCTGTGATAAGAAGATTGGATATATATATATGTATATATATATATATGGATGTGGTATACTTATAATATATATATATAGTATCTCCATGTATAGCAAATACGTAACAAAGTTTGTATGCCTTCTACATACACAGTAGCTCCAACGCGCCATACCCATGGCCCTTTGCAGGCGATGCACCGCGCAAGCGCAAGACGGGCGCTGCCTGGAAGCAGATGGCAACGGGGAATGACGTGGCAACTTCCTATTGACAATGGCAGATAATGGTAAATGATGGTAAATGGTGGTTAATGATGGTTAATGATGGTCAATGATGATTAAACATGGTAAATCATGATGAATAATGGTTAATGATGGTTAATGATGGTTAATAGTGGTGATTAATGATGATTCTACCCTCCTGCGTTTACAAACGTGGCCAGCTGGACACCCATAAATGGAGGCCACCGGAGGTGGGTTTTCCTATGGAAAAAAGGCTGTGCAACCAGTCATCAATCCATAGGGATTTAGAAAAATCCATTCAAATGTGGGTAAAACAATGCCATAAACCACCCATGACTGGGAATGGTATATATATATATTTATACAATATATATAATTATATATATATAATATATATATAAGATATATACATGTACATACATATACATATAATATACATGTACATACATATATATATATATATATAAAATTAATATACATATATATATACCAGCTATGAACATGTCTAGCTATATGTATATATATATACATACAATCTTTAATAACATACATATATGAAAACATTGGAACTATAACCAAATGTCTCATTCCTTTCACCACGATGATCCGCAGAGACATCCGCAGAGACCCACAGAGCGAACCCCTTTAACACAAATGGCTAATGACTTCTTTCTCAAAACCCTTTAACACAGATGTTTGCATGAAATTCCATTCAATCCATAAGAATTATGCCCCAGTGCCTACAAGATAAAGGAAAAAACCCTAAATTAGCATAAAACCTCACTTGAAACTACCCAGACCTAAGAAAAATCAGGTCTGAGTAATACTGCTTACACTCCATTGGCTAAGCTGCACTAGCTATTCACCCACTGAGACATTCTGCCAGAGTGGCTTGGTGCAGCCACACAGCCACTCAGCCGCTCTGCTAGAGTGGCTGGAGCAGCCACTCTGCCAGAGTGGCTGAGTGGCTGCTTCGATTTCGCGAGCCGTGTTGCACATCCACTATATATAATATATGTACATGTACATATATATATATAATATATACAATATAATATAATATGTATATAATATAATTAATTAATTAATTAATTAATTAATATATATATACTAGCTATGAACATGGTGATGACTGGGGCATTGTGCGAAGCCATGGCGGATTCCCATGGGATGACCATAGCCATGGTTGTGCCAAGGCTCCAGACAGCTCCATGGTGGGCATGCCTCAACCGGAGGCCGTCGGTGCGGTAGACCCGGTAGACCCTTAAAGCATCCAACCACTTGTCATCAGTTAATTGGTTATGATAATCATGTTATGACATGGGTTATATTCTATCTACAGGTTATGATAATTTATTCTTGTCCCATTAACTATTGACTAGGGTTAACATACCCATTAACGTGGCTTAATAGTGCTTAATAGCTAACCACTTAGTCATCCCATTAACTTAGTTAACTTGGGGGCTAACCAAAGTCATCCGATGACTAGGGTTTTTCTCCATGAGATACCCAACAAGAAACCCCAGTGGGGAACGCTTGGGCCAGCCTCAGGGGATGCAATAAGCTGAACGATGAGAGGCAGAAGTGGAGCGGCCGATGCGAGGCAACAAGTTGGGACATTGACCATTTATAGATGATTTATGCTGATTTCCCCATTAAAGCCATCATCTTTGTGCTATTTCCCTGCTAGCCACGTTTGATTGCCAGATGGTAAGAACAACATCACCAAGACATAGGCTTGGGCAGAAAACATACCCAAATATGGGAAATTCAGCATGAAGAACTATGTTTTTGCTGGGTAAACCAAGTGAGGATGTGCCCAAACCTATGATTTTCCATATGATTTGAGGGATGAACATCCATTTACCAGCTTTTTTGAAGTTCACCATTTACCAGACACGGATTTTGATCCACAACCAATCGCCTGAAGGAATGGAAAAGACTTGAAAAATAGAGATACAACCACACATACAACCAAAGTAATAGCTGATGCAATCTGCGAATTTCACGAAGCAATGCCCCGAACATGAGGACGTTAGGAGGACGCTAGAATCAGATGGGATATATCCACAGAATTCCATAGATATCAAATAGGTATTTGTTGCTTCAGCGACCAGCGAGGAAAGGAACCTCCATATGTCCATACGAGTTGATCATCATTGTGCTAAAGTAGCCACAACTCTTGGGATACAAACAACTCTGGAATGTGGATAATCCCCATCTCGGCATTTGAAGCCTTCCCCCAATGAATCATAGTCATTTGAGGATTCATGCCTATCCAATAATTCAATAGAGACGAAAAAGGATAGTCTATTTTCACAGGAAGTCGTTTGTTTGGGAGACTCAGCAGCATAGCCTTTCACCAATGAAGATTTGAGCAGTTCATGTGACCCCACGAAGCTAGGACAGCTAAGCCGCTCTGTTCTCTCTGCAACGGTAGAGTGGTCGCATCGTGGGCGGGGGTCTGAAACCCCCGACAGTCATGGAGACGGTAAAGTGCTATGTGTAGAGAAATCTGTTGAAATCTGTTGATTAATCATGTCAATAGCGGTTAATCATACCAATTATATATATATAGTTATGCTGCCACGCCCCAAAATTGAATCCAAAAGCTGCAAAACGGTGCTCATTCTGAAAAAGACAGCTCCAGTCACTGTCCGCCGCCAAAGGTTTCACCCCTAGTGTGCCGAAGTAGCGAGAAAAGAGGTACTGTAATCTAACGTGGCCGACTGGAGACAATTTTGTCCTTATGGTTTTTCAGAGGTATATATAATAATATATATATACATACATACACAACCCATTTTAGTGCTATCATAGAAGGAACGTGGGACTTTCTAAACCGTTGGGGTTTAGGGGACCCCTTGGTACGTCCAGATTTAGGGCAGCCCCAATCAGGCTGCCCTGAAAACGAAGAAAATCAAGCTCCGCTAAATTTAAATCATATTTAAATGGTGTTGGAATAGGATTTCGGGCACTTTGAAAGGCAATCTTTGGGTTCCTTTTTTGATTTAGAGGTAGATTGAAGGATTGTATTGTCGTGTTTTTGTTTTTGTGAAGATCTTTCGGCTGTGCCCAGTAGTGAGAAGTGTGTAAATGTCTACCAATGTTGGGTGGGCAACATGACTACGTGGATCCATCATCTACTGACAAAAGTGCAGCAGATGAAACTGACGAGGTCAATCTTGATGCTCTATGCTTGACTGGAGAAGGAGTGACCTTAAATGCTCCTCGCTCTATGCTTGGGTATGACCTGTGGAGGTTGGTGTCGGAGAAGCTTCCACGCAAGCCAGGCGCTAGGCTAGTGGTGCATCACATGAATGCAAAGCTGACGCTGAATCAAACCTTGGGAGAGCAAGGGATTGTTGGAAAATCGGCAATGCTGTCCTGCACTTACATACCAACAAATGTGTACACTGCATGGTGTTATGTCCATGGGCTCACGACTTGTGAGAGAGATTTGGTGCTAGGAGGTGTTACACAACTTGACCGAGCAGTGCCTGGAGAGTATTTACATCATCTACCCGGCAGCCTTGCAAAATTGAGTCTGGATGGTAACTTCAACCAAAGCCTGGAGCGGGTGACCTTTCCATTGAGTCTTCAAAGCATGACTTTTGGCTACAGGTTCAACCGAAGCCTGGAACGAGTGACCTTGCCATCGAGTCTTCAAAACTTGAGTTTTGGCTATCGTTTCAACCAAAGCTTGGAGCGGGTGACCTTGCCATCGAGTCTTCAAAGCTTGAGTTTTGGGTTTGAGTTCAACCAAAGCCTGGAGCGGGTGATTTTTCCATTGAGTCTTCATAGCTTGAGCTTCGGCGAGGATTTCAACCAAAGCCTGGAGCGGGTGACCTTGCCATCGAGGCTTCAAAGCTTGAGTTTTGGCTACAGGTTTAACCAAAGCCTGGAACGAGTGACCTTGCCATCGAGTCTTCAAAGCCTGAGTTTTGGGTTTGAGTTCAACCAAAGCCTGGAGCAGGTGACCTTGCCGCTGAGTCTTCAAGGCTTGAGTTTTGGCGAGGATTTCAACCAAAGCCTGGAGTGGGTGACCTTGCCATCGAGGCTTCAAAGCTTGAGTTTGGGCTCTGAGTTTAACCAAAGCCTGCAGCGGGTGAAATTGCCATTGAGTCTTCAAAGCTTAAGCTTTGGCCCTGAGTTCAACCGAAGGCTGGAGTGGGTGACCTTTTCATCGAGTCTTCAAAGCTTGAGTTTTGGCTTTGAGTTCAACCAAGGCCTGGAGAGGGTGACCCTGCCATCGAGTCTTCAAAGCTTGAGCCTTGTCAATCGTTTCAACCAAAGCCTGGAGCGGGTGACCTTGCCACTGAGTCTTCAAAACTTGAGTCTTGGCAATATGTTCAACCAAAGCCTCGAGCGAGTGACCTTGCCATCGAGTCTTCAAAACTTGAGTTTGGGCAATATGTTCAACCAAAGCCTGGAGAGGGTGACCTTGCCATTGAGTCTTCAAAGCTTGAGTTTTGGCTGGACCTTCAACCAAAGCCTGGAGCAGGTGAGCTTGCCATCGAGTCTTCAAAGCCTGAGTTTTGGCTTTGCGTTCAATCAAAGCCTGGAGCGGGTAACCTTGCCATCGAGTCTTCGAAGCTTGAGTTTTGGCGTTTGGTTCAACCAAAGCCTCGAGCGAGTGACCTTGCCATCGAATCTTCAAAGCTTGAGTTTTGGCTGTGGTTTCAACCAAAGCCTGGAGCGGGTGACCTTGCCATCGAGGCTTCAAAGCTTGAGTTTTGGCGATCTATTCAACCAAAGCCTGGAGCAGGTGACCTTGCCATCGAGTCTTCAAAGCTTGAGTTTTGGCGATGGGTTCAACCAAAGCCTGGAGCGGGTGACCTTGCCATCGAGTCTTCAAAGCTTGAGTTTTGGCGATCTATTCAACCAAAGCCTGGAGCGGGTGACCTTGCCATCGAGTCTTCAAAGCTTGAGTTTTGGCGTTTGGTTCAACCAAAGCCTGGAGCGGGTGATTTTGCCATCGAGTCTTCATAGCTTGAGCTTTGGCAATATGTTCAACCAAAGCCTGAAGCGAGTGACCTTGCCATCGAGTCTTCGAAGCTTCAGTGCCGGTTCTCCCAGCAGCTATGTGTCGTGTGTTGGACACAGTCATATTGAAGAACAATCTTAAATGCAGCTTTCCAAGCAAAACTCGGGTGCTTGAGGCGACGACCATGGAGTAGCAACTAAAACTGATGTAAAAAATCACCCAGTGAACTCCAGTAATCTAACCTGGAATCTAATCAGTAACCCAAGCAGGAATCCAATCAAGCAACAGAAATCTCTGTGAAGTCTGTGAACTAATGTAACTAATACTGTATAGTATAGACAACTCATCCATAATTTGCGGCTTTTTCATTGCCAAGTTTGAGAACCATGATTTCCTTCAAAAGATGATCGACAAAGATATGAATTTAAGGGACGGAGCTACCAACTAGACCACACTTACATGACCTTGCAAGTCTTTGTCGTTGGGGAGAAGTTGACCCCAGGCCCCTTGGATGTTTTTCTTGTGACGGAAGACCATCAAGTGGTGGATTTGCCACCTGTACGGCACCAAGCCAAACTCAGCTGTGACATTGGCCGCTGGCTTTTCTTTAGGGTTCGAACACCTGCAGTGCCGCAGCGAATAGCGAAAGGTAGGGATGGATGGGGCGTAGACGCAGCTGTCGCTTTGTTGAGCCGAAGATTCTTCGTGGTTCATGGCCTTGAGCTGGTATTATGCCTGTTTTCATTGGCTAGGCTGCCACCCCCATGTTTGATAATGTTTGATGGTACAATCACAAAACCATTGTTGGATTTTTGCACACTGTTGTGTTTCTACAACTCCGATGCCATCAGCTTGATGAAACTTCTTCTCAGCTTCCTGCCAGGGGCCATGGGCGGTGGCGGCGACTTCGGCAAAGGATCTTTTCCGGATGAGTGGACCACAAATTGAAGGCCCTCAAACCCTCAATATTTTTTTTACATTTTTTTTGTTGGTAGATGTTGGTAGTGAATCATCGCATTTTTGGCTAACCCAATTTTGAGGCTTCATAAGCATATCTCCTCCACTAGGTCACTAGGTTTCTGATGGGAATATCCAAATCTTTTAGTCTCTGTCCAAACATCAGATTGATCAGATTGTCAAATGTGGATCAACCACCAACAAAAACATCAAAATACACTAAATACATATTTTTTGGTCCTGACTCGATGGACCCTATGGAGTGTTGACTCTCTGTATTTTTTGCATCTCAGAAACCTCAGTTTCGACCCGTCCTTAAGCATGTAGGATCCTTGGCCATATCCCGAATTCCTGATGTTATCCTGCATACAAGTATAGCTTTTAAGTGCCCATAACTTTGCCACCATGATTGCAACTCACCTAGGAACTTGGTCATCTAAGTAGCCAGGAGGGCCCCTGTTTTTGGGTTTCAGATAGCATGGCATGGCCTCTCCATTTGCGCTGGCCCAGTTCTGAGATTTGCAGGAAAGGGCAAGGGGAAGAAGGGCAAGGGCAAGGGCAAGGGCATTTAGTTTCTGACTGGCAGTTATTACTGATAGTCCGAAGTGTCTTGATTTTGTGTATAGACCGTGAAGGATTTTAGAATATCTCATAAAAGTTTTATCCTCTGCGAAATCATCTATAATCAATAAGCAACTGAATAACTTGGTCATTTTCATTTTCTTCTGATACTCTATGACTTTGTGCTGTGTGTCTATGATATGTTGTAATGCTTCGGCATTATATTCATCAAATAAGTATTGTTCTTTTTTATTATCAATTTTTAACTCTTTTTCAATGTATTTTATTACCTCTTTGTATGCTTCATCTATGTGAGCGGTTGGGGATACAATGTATATTCTCTCAAAGCATCCTCTGTATATTTTCAGAATAAGGTTCTGAATTAATATACCCTTACCGCCTTGACTGGCACTAACAATAATTGACCTAAACGGCAGTTTATCCGCTTGTGGGTATTGAGACTGTTTAAACTCATACTGCTTTACATTGATTGGTTCTATCTTAGGTATGTCAAGTTTTTTCATAATATAATATATTTAAGAAATAAATTTATAATATAAATTGTAGTGGCATATCTTATCTTGCTGGAATAAGGGGTCGCAAGGTTTGGAACAGACTGCCATTTACCTGCCATACGAGCATCAGGACTGTTAATTCAGTTCCCCGCAACAAACAGTTGAATATGTGTCTTACTTTTGAATTAGTTTGATGCCATGCTTTTGAGAGAACCCGCGCCCCAACCCTGTTCTCTTTCATTTACACAAGCGCAAGTATAATTATTAGAACATAGCAAAACTATTTTCTAATAGTAATGGTTGTGATTGATGATGAAGAGATAATTGAGAATATAGAAACCCTGATTGATGACGCTTCGGACGAAGTCCTCGCGAGCATTCGCGACACTAAATTTCCTGTGGAAGATGGTAAGATAAAATGTTTTATTCATTATCTAATCAATAATATTAAGGATGCCTCCGAAAAAGAAAAGCAGTAAATCCAAAAAAAACTATTCCAGAGGATTTTGAACTGTCTGATGATGAACCCAAAATGGTAAGTTTAAGTCAGGAACAAAAACTAACAAGCAAAATATTATCTTTGATTGCCCTTTATGTCAGGGAAAATTACAGTTGAGGAACGAAATTGAAATCAACCCCAAAGGCATAACCTGTCGTTGTAATCCGTGTAGTTTCAAACTGACTAAAAATGATAAGACTATGAATGTCAGTAAGGATGATGAAGGGGGGATTACATTGGATAGTCAAGACCACAGCATCTCGTTTGCTTTCAATCGAATTACTACTCCTCCAACAGAAGATGAAAGATATAGAAATGATATGATAAAAGATGTTATGAATACACCACGGAACAGCAAAAAACAGATGATGTCTGAAATGGATTGAAACGAAACCATTTAAAGAGTAGTTGTTCTATCAACTCCAACTCATAAATAAATAATTAAATAAATTATTTTCTAAATAGATAAATAAATAAATAGTAATGTCAAGTGGAGATGAGAGCAAGACTGAAATGAAAGAGTTGATGGATAAATTCAACAAATACGCTAAACAGGTGAAACTGGTTCTGGCAAAACTTGAAGAAATTGACAAGAAAATAGGACAAAACTATTACTACTTAGATGATGATAAGAGGGGTTGTTTACGCCACAAATTGTGAAAGGTGTAAGGCTTGTTCATGCTGATGTGTTGTTGCTTCCAGTGCTTGCCATCACTGTCGTTAAGGCTCAACAATATCAAACTGCACTGCGCTGATGCTTCAAGTAAGATCATGATTCAAAGTCAGGAGGAGTAAGAGCTGTGGCAGGAATACGAGCTGTTGCTTTTCAAGACTTTTGTTGTAGCAATGGTTGCCTTGCGCAATGCTCGTGTTCGGCGCTATGTCCTTCTTTGCCGCTTTTGGCATTTCGCAGCGCGAACCTTACAGTTCTCTGCCCTGCCGCCGAATACAAAGCTGTTGAAGGACGTGGAGCACAATGAGATGCCAAACTGGATTCGTGAGCAAATGCGTGATTTGGGGTATGATAAAGGCGTCTCAGACAACATGGCCGAGGCGCTCTCATTTTACAGCCCTTCGGCCTTGGTGGAGGCTTCTCGAGAGAGTTTGCTGGGTGCGCTGCAACAGACATTCCCAAATGATGCACAGCGGATGATCATGGCCCAAAGCCTTTATGACCGCATTCAGAAGGGCATTTCCCAACCACAACCCGTTTCTCGGCAAAGATTGGTTTTAGTCGTAGCCCGAGTTCGTTGTGTTTTGTTTCTCGTTGATGTGAGACAGCGTTTATGTTTCTGTGGCTGCTTTGCTTGGTTTCAGGTTCAGAGCGATGTTCCCGAGAATGTCAAGGCCTTCGCACGAGCTTTGGATGATGCAGAGCTGGAAGGGCAAATTCTCAGAACGGAAAAGGGCAGTTTCAAGTTAGAACAGGACTCGGAAATTTGGGACGAAAAGCAGTTCTACGTGCGGGACTGCTACAAAGAGATTGCCAACATCATGTTGAAGAAAAAACCTCATAGGATGTCTTTGCTGGGCTCGTCTGGGATCGGCAAGTCCAATTTTATGGTATATTTAATCTGGCGTCGCTTCCAAGACAGTGAGCTTAAAGACTTCCCAGTTTTTCTGCACCAGAGGGACGACATCTTTCGGTTTAAGAAGGGCGAAGAGCCGAAGCTGGTGGATGTCAGGACCTTGAAGTCGACCCCTCAACAAGCTTTGTATATCATGGATGCCGACATTGATGTGGAACATGGGGTCTTTTGCCAGTCTTTGTGGATTACCTCTGCGCGGAGGCCCACCGAACATTTTAAGAAGGCCGAGCGCTTTTCTGGGCAGTGCTTTATGCCACCATGGACGTTGACGGAGATGCTGAGTGCAGAGGTCATGGCCTTACACAAGCTGAATGAGGAGGTTGTCAAGGAACGCTTCGGCATCTTTGGTGGCACTGCGAGGCTTGTTTTGGAGAGGGACGAGACAAGGGCAGGCGTCGACCGAAGAAGGCTCGTTGAGGCCGTGCAGTCAGCAGATGCGCTGCAATCCCTGAAAGTATCGTCTGACATGAAAGCCATAAGCAAGACGACGCATTTGCTGGTGAAGATGCACCCAAAGCGGGAGTTCAGCTGGTTTGATGTGCAGTTGTCGTCTCCCTATGTTCGGCAAGAGCTGGTGAAGCAAAACAGAGCAAAACGAGCCCAAGCTCTTTGGGATCGTATTGATGATGGGATGATTACGGGCATCGGTTTTGCATTGTTTGAGGAAGAGTTCCACCAGTTCATGCAGGACAAGTCCATCGGCAAGTTCAAGCTCCGAGCCAGATGCTTGACAGCTGAGGGGAAGGGGTCTGATACAACACAGGAACTCCAAGGTGGTCTTGAAGGAGTGCTGATTTCGGGCAATCCCGCAGCAGACATCAAGGATGGCGAATACTACCAGCCGCAGAGCAAAAACTTTCCTGCCTTTGACTCATGGACCTCACAGGGCGTTTTTCAGCTGACGATTGCCGATACACATGACATCACCTTCAATGACAGTGGCAAGGCAATGGACGTGACGAAGACGCAGGCGTCTAAGATTGTGGATGCACTTTGCAAGAAGCATGACAGCAAAGCCAAATTCTTCTTTGTCGTTCCGCAGTTTCAGTTTGATAAGTGGAAGACTGTGCAGACAGTGAAACAGCCAGAGATGGCTGAGAAGATTGAGCAATGGGTCGTGTGCTTTGAACAGAACCTTCCGAAGTGAAGTGGAGCAGCGCGCTCGTGACCAAAATGAGGAAAGTCCGACATCCCCCAGTTCGGGGTTATGGGTTTTTGGGTTTTTTCTATTAGGGTCTTACCCCACACCTCATTAGGATATTGGTTGTAGAATGGACAAGGTTATGGGGTTGGGAGGTTCTTATGTTTTTTTTGAAATATTGTTTTCTATGAGGGAGACCTTGCCCCCTAATTCTATGATGGTTTGTTGTTTGTATTTTGATTGGTTCATTGAATATTTTTTGGCATGGATTATTCAACAATCTTATTGGTTGGTTTGTTGAATAATTTTTGTGATGGGGTGTTGTTTTGGTTTTGATGATTGCTTGTTGCTATGGTTTTGTTATTGTCTCGGTTGATTGATTACTCATTGGATTTTGGTTATGTCTTGGTTGTTCTGATTTATTTGTGTTGTTTGGTTGATTGATTTCTTATTGGTTTATGGGTATGCTTTGGTTGTTATGATTTGTTTGTGTGATGTTATGGGGGTTGGTTGCTTTGAAATGTTGTCTGTATGTTTGCGGTTGTGGAGGATGGGAAGATGGGCAAGGGCCATTCTAACTTATATATATATATTATACATATCATACCATATGACTTAAATTACGATCCAACCATTGAATCATTGAATCATTGTACATTTTTTGTTCA